CAGCTGGCGAGTGGGGCTCGCCGCCGCTTGGTGAGCCCTGCTAATGTCCAACCTAAACCTCCCTTGCTGTAGTTTAAGCCCATTGTTTCTTGTCCTGTTCTCAGAGGCCAGGGAGAATCACTTTTTCCCCCTCCTCCTGGATGACCCTTTTAGGTACTTGAAACCCGCTCTCATGTCCCCTCTGAGTTCTTCTTTCCAAACTAAACAAGTCCAGTTCTTTCAGTTTTCCCTCCTAGCTCATGTTCTCTAGACCTTTTATCATTTTTGTTGCTCTTCTCTGGACCTTCTTCAGTTTCTCCACATCTTTCTAGAAATGTGGTGCCCAGACTAGACACAATACTTCAATTGAGGCCTAACCAGAGCAGAGCGGGAAAATGACTTCTCGTGTCTTGCTCACAACACGCCTGTTAATGCATCCCAGAATCATGTTTGCTTTTTTTGCAGCAGTGTCACACTGTTGACTCATGTTTAGCTACTTGTCTGACCCCTAGATCCCTTTCTGCAGGACTCCTTCCCAGACAGTCGCTTCCCATTCTCTGTGTGTGAAACGGATTGTTCCTTCCTAAGTGGAGCACTTTGCATTTGTCCTTACTGAACTTCATTCTGTTGACCTCAGTCCATTTCTCCAGTTTGTCCAGATCATTTTGAATTTTGACCCTCTCCTCCAAAGCAGTTGGTAAGCAAAGCAAAGACAAGACTTGGTTGCAGGTGCAGGCGTGAGGCGTGTGTACATCCGCCCGGGGACACCGTAGTCTACAGTCGTTACATAGCAAAGAAATGCTGTCCGACCCCAGTACTAGCTTTTCTAGCAACTCTTTTAAAACTTGCTTGACGTGGAAGTCCTTCTTTACAAGCCAGCTTTGTTTTGTGTGTGCTTGTGACAAGAAATGATCTTGTTCTGAGCCAGGCAGCCAGGGGTGTAGTCAGGTTCACTTTCCTGGAAAAACGTTGGAGATTAATCATTCCTCACTGCCAGGCCAGAGAACAGTAGAACCACCTAGATTGTTAGAATAAACATCCCTCGCTTTCTGCTGTGTAAGGAAGCCCCGACATTCCGGCAGCAAGGTTAAAGATGCAGCTTTCTTCCCACCTTTGCCTGGCTGTGCTGATGCTTAAAACAAGCAGAGGAAATTGTTGCGAACGCGCCTTAAGCGAAGACTATTTAATCCCAGCGTCAGCAGAGCATGTCCTCCGCGCCACGATAGGTTTGACCCTGCTTGCTTGAGTGCAGCGTTAGAGCTGTGACAGGCTCACAGGCATCTTGTAAAATCTCCTTTATCTCAGAAAAGGGGGGTTGACAGCAGCCGAGGCTCTGAAATAGCTCCCAGACGAAACTCCCACCACCTTGTTTATTAAAAGAAATTACAAATTACAGGAAGGACAGAGGGTGGTTGTGTTGCTGACGAGTCTTTTTCTAGATGTGTGCACAAGTCAGAGGGTATCCTCCACCCCGGTCACTATCAAGTGCAGTCTGAGCCATACACCACAGCCTGTGCTGGGGCAAAACAGCAGACGCAGGGCCTTTAAGAGGGATGTAGATGCAGACTGTCGGAGCACGTCTACACAGCACGGCTAAGCTCAAAATAAGTTCCGCAGTTTGAGATATGCTAATTGCGTAGCTTAAGTTGAAATAACTTCTGGCGCTGTCTACACAGCTGTTATTTCGAGACACAGCACTCTTCCCCCGACTTCCCTTCCTCCTCCTACAATAAGGGTGACAGGAGTCAGAGGAACCAGTCTTCCAGCTCGACAGTATTTCGCCATTATGTCGAAATAACTGCTCGTGTGTAGACGCAGGCCATGTTATTTCGGAATAACACTGCTGTGTAGACATACCTCAGTGGCATGAAGCAGCAACTGCCACTAAACTCTTAAGCTACGTCTACACTGTTCTCTCTTGCGCAAGATAATATGCAAATGAGGCGAAGCCGTGAATATCACTGTGCCTCATTTGCATACTTAATGAGCCACTGTTTTTGTGCAAGGGGCTTTTGCGCAAAAAGCCCCTTGTGCAAAATGGCAGCTCAAGTATGCAAATGAGGCACGGCGATATTCACCGCTTCGCTTCATTTGCATATTTTCTTGCGCAAGAGAGGGGAGGGTAGACGCAGCCTTAGGTTCTTTTCTAGAAGAGGGATCTTTCATTTCAGTTTTAGCTACAATATCTGATTGCCAGGAGCAATTCCTACCCTGGCATGACCTCGAAAATGGAAGCCATGGCCTTTGAGAGAACATCCTCAAAAGGTCTCGGGACACAGTTGTTAACTCCATGTCCAGCTTCGTTTCTTGCAAGAGTCAATGTTAAGTTGACTCATTCAGCAGGCGCGGCATCATGCAGATTGAGAGAGGCACAAGTCTGGCTGGGTCTTTGGGTCGCCTCTGAGGTGCTCAGACGGTAGCATGATCAGGGTGGCGTGGGAGTGGCCCTAATGTTAGGGTTGTTTAAGGTTCACCTTGCTAAGTCCTCTTAAAATTGCCACACTGCAGATTCTTTTGAACCATAGTGTGTCTCAGGAGGGCTCAGAGTGGGGTTAGGGACCCAGATTTACGGTCATTTGAGCAGAGTTTGTGGGCATATAAGCCCTGAAAAAAACCCTGCTCATTTTCCAAAAGTTCACTAGGTATGTGCATGGATCAGTTGCTTGGTTAGTTTACGCAGAGCAAGAGATCAGGCTATCGATGTGATGTCAAAATGGGCTCAATCTGTTGAATTTTATCCAAGGCAGCGCATGGCGCCAACCAAGCCTTTGTCGGACCTACACTGTGAACCGTATCATAGGACCACTCTTTGCTTGCATAGGTGTGCAGCCTGGCCCGCTTACAGTGCACAAGCACCAGGAAAGAAAGCAGGCGTGAGGGGGTTTCTTTGAAGCCATTCCCTCGGTGAACACCTCCCCATTGACGTTCCTCGTCCAAACTTCTGTGAGCCTATTCAGGAAAGATTTAATAACTCATGTTGCTTGCTACAAGTTATCATAGGAC